TCTGCTCTCACTCCATCACTGTTCTCAATTTCTTTCTCGATACGCTCTTCGACATCCTCGGCCGTTCCACTTGCAATAAGGTCAATTATTTGGTCATCTAATGTTTTGAGTGACTCTATCTTCAGTCGCATCGACTGAATTGATTCTTTCAACCAGAATTTATCCACTGGATTTTCTTCATCACTCAGCCTGTCTTTCAAACGATTAAGAAGTTTCGTCGCAGATCCTCTACGGGCAGCTCTGATTTTAACTTTCTTTGCTATGGCTTCGGCGTCCGACATACTAGCATTTTCAGTCCGCGCATGTGTTCAATCTTGTCGACGTCTTCAAACTCGATTATCTGGCTCGAAGGACCACTGTGATAGAAATCCACACAACTTAGGACTTCACAAATCTTTATTTCCTTCAGAGGACTGTATACTTTCTGTACTTTCACAATCTTGACAATCTTTTCAACACACGAGTTCGTGTTCTCTATCACAGTTTACAATAAAAAATCTAGCACCTTCTCACCCTCTCTCACATGACTTATCTGTCAATCAACTTGAAGCATGTGACAAGATACGTGACATGTAACGCAACTACAGGTTTCAGACATACTCGATTCTTAGATTTAAATTAAAAAAAATAATTATAGATTGAAGACACATGATCTGCTGTTGTGATTTATAATAGGGTTTCCTTATCGTAATTTATGTTACAACGTCCTAAAACCGGGGAGTATGGACTATTCATCAGTAATCAGGATGTACTAATGAGCAGAAAGTTAAGCAATAACTTGGTAGTAATCAGTATTGCTGGTTTTTTGCCTGGCTCAAGTTGTTAAAGGTTTCTCTTGACGCATTACTGCGATAAACCCAACACGGAAAAGCAAATCTTTCTTATAGGTGAACTTATACCGTTAAATTTTCGATCTCATTGCTTTGCTTACATCAATATTTTCAATTTAGACTAATCAAGGCTGTGCTCTAAGAAAAATTCTAGGGAGCCCTTCAGGCACCCAACTATATGTAGGCTAAGGTGCCCAGAAGTCAAGCTTGGTACCCTGAATGAAAAATAAATAAATAAATAGTTAATTAATTGATTAATTATAATTATCTAATAACATTATTAATTGATATATATATGATAACTGATTGACCCTCAAATAAAATTGTCTTACATTGTTTCTAGGGCATTTATCCTATTTACAGATGCCAAAGATAAATTTTGTTCACATGTAACTTTTTGTTATACTGTTGTCAAGAGTCCACAAAGAGAGACAAAATTTACATGTTTTTTTGAGTTAGAATGGTTGATATATGTAGAAAAATTTAGTCCTTTTTCCCTCTTTACCCTAGCCTGTTGCTTCTGATAATTCAGTTCACATTCTCCTTCAATAGACCACTTTC